GGGCCTCTGCTGGGGGGGAGGGGGGGCTGCTGACCATGTGCTGAGGTAGTATGGTTCTGTACAGTAGGATTATTCAGGGACAGAAATGTGTGGATGAGTTTGTGGAATGTTGAGCGGAGCCAGGGATAAGTCGCTGTTGGACCAGAGGAGAGTCTGTGTTCTCTGCTTTATTCATGGTGTGGTCTCTTTCTCTATCTCTCTCTCTCTGGCCTTTCTCTTTCTCTGTCTCTCTCTCTCTCTGGTCTCTCCTGTTCTCTCTCTCTCTTTCTCTGGCTTTCTCTCTCTTCGGCCTCTCTCATTCTCTCTCTCTCTCTCTCTCTTTTTCTCTGGCTCTCTCTCTCTCTCTGGCCTCTCTCATTCTCTCTCTCTCTCTCTTTTTCTCTGGCTCTCTCTCTCACCGGCCTCTCGTTCTCTCTCTCTCTTTCTCTCTCTCCACTATGCGGCTTTTGAAAAATAAGCCTTTCATTCTCTGTACACCGATTTCTCAAGCTTGCTATTGCCATTATTGTCATCATCATCACCATCATCATCATCTTCATCACCATGGACGTTGTGAACAGCCCTGTCAATACTTTCCAACCCACGCCACCGCGGGCTCATTAGGCACAAGTGGAAAAGGTCTACAGCGAACCAACAATCAGTGAAGCTAGAGTCCTGCGTGATTACTTATCTGACCCGTTTTCTGAGTCACTAAACGCAACGCAATTACCTTATTATCCCTGCGCAGCCCCAAAACCCCCGCTATCAATGATAATTACTGCATTTTAAATTTGCCCATAACTCTCTCTCCTCCTCATAGATCATTTTGGTAACTGTGCTGTAAGTGAAGTGTCAAGAGCGTTTGATTTGCCATTTGCAGTAAAACCACATTGGAATACATGCGCAAGAATCCCCAGTGTGCACCAGACAATTACATAAAGCTTGTTTATTTTGGTTGCTGGAAAACGGCTCTGAAGTAGCTCTGAAACAGTTGTTGTTTTGTGCTTCATACATTTTATTTTTCTTGCTTTTTTCTACCTAAGATGTTGCTGCAGTACAGTGTTCATGGTTTTGTACTGGTCCAGATTGGAGCGGAAAGGATTTATGGTCCGACCCAAGTGGATCAGATGAAAATGCACTGGAGGAATGCTAGCTTTTTGAAAAATTCTAATGAACCATTCAGCATTTTACTTTGGACCAGAGCAGAGAAAATGATCCGAACCAAGAGGCTACTCCACTTTGTGACCCGTCCTGCTCCACCCAGAGGCTACTCCACCTCTGCTGCTGTGACCCGTCCTGCTCCACCCAGAGGCTACTCCACCTCTGCTGCTGTGACCCGTCCTGCTCCACCCAGAGGCTACTCCACCTCTGCTGCTGTGACCCGCCGTGCTCCACACAGAGGCTACTCCACCTCTGCTGCTGTGAACCGCCGTGCTCCACACAGAGGCTACTCCACCTCTGCTGCTGTGACCCGCCGTGCTCCACACAGAGGCTACTCCACCTCTGCTGCTGTGAACCGCCGTGCTCCACACAGAGGCTACTCCACCTCTGCTGCTGTGACCCGCCGTGCTACACCTAGAGGCTACTCCACCTCTGCTGCTGTGACCCGTCCTGCTCCACCCAGAGCCTACTCCACCTCTGCTGCTGTGGACCCGCCGTGCTCCACACAGAGGCTACTCCACCTCTGCTGCTGTGACCCGTCCTGCTCTACCCCAGAGGCTACTCCACCTCTGCTGCTGTGACCCGCCGTGCTCCACCTAGAGGCTACTCCACCTCTGCTGCTGTGACCCGTCCTGCTCCACCTAGAGGCTACACCACCTCTGCTGCTGTGACCCGTCCTGCTCCACCTAGAGGCTACTCCACCTCTGCTGCTGTGACCTGAAGGGCTGTTGCTGATAATTACTATTACATTTTTTGAATGATAAATTTGTTTTTCTTTTTTCTGCTACTGGACACCTGAATTTATCCTACGGGGATCAATAAAGTATCTATCTATCTATCTATCTCTCTATCTAAACAAAACTAGCTTAAAAGTACAAGAAGCTATTGTCGCTGTACAGTTGAAAGAAGCCGTTAGCATATTAGCATATCCAGATATTTCTTAACATCCCGAGTAATGTCTTTCACTGAAAACACTAATTCTATATTTTTAACAGCACGTCTTTCATCCCATGCATTTTTCCGTGGCTCAGATAAGATTCCAGTCGCAGATGATTAAACCTGATTAAGTCCAGACGTCACAGTGTTTGTGGGAATAATGAAAAAGCCAGTTCAACGATGCGTTTGGAAGTGTATGAAAGGTGATGTTATCCATTCAGCTGCGAGCCGCGGAGAGCGTTATTGAATTATAATCACCACCAACTTTGAAGAGACGCGATTGTGTTCTGAGAATGGTCTGAATGTTAAATATTCAGACGCAGGTGTTCGCTGTGATCGATTCACATTGTGTGCTTTGGTAACACAAAACAAAAAACACAGTCAAAGTTTTTGTCCGCATAAAAGAAGGAAACCATTTCAACTTTCACTGCGGTTTTTAGAGTTTTTCTGTGCAGGTGGAGGAGAGTCTAAGGACAATGTGTTTTTTTATAATTGCATTTTGTGTGTTTGAACGGTTTGTCGGCGAATCAATAGTTTTGTGAAGTTGTGACGATAACTACTGTTGTGAGTTAGGGCTGAACAAAAACTAAAATTGAATTGAACTTTTTACAAGAAGCAGCGGTTTATGGTTGTCAAATGGACTAAAGCTTTTCATTTTGAGCGGCACAACAGACTGGAAACTCACATGGATTTGGGGAAAGACACACAACAAGACACAAACAAGACACAGCCGACGAGTGTATCTGATCTTATATGACGCACAATCACACAGTGGCCATTGTAGTGGTATAGTCCTGGTATAGTCCTGGTATAGTCCTTGTTTAGTCCTTGTTTAGTCCTTGTTTAGTCCTAGTATAGTCCTGGTATATTCCTTGAATAATCCTTGAATAGTCCTTGTATAGTCCTAGTATAGTCCTGGTATATTCCTTGAATCATCCTTGAATAGTCCTTGTATAGTCCTAGTATAGTCCTGGTATAGTCCTTGAATAATCCTTGTGTAGTCCTAGTATAGTCCTTGAATAGTCCTTGAATAGTCCTTGTGTAGTCCTTGTGTAGTCCTAGTATAGTCCTTGAATAGTCCTAGTATAGTCCTGGTATAGTCCTAGTATAGTCCTAGTATAGTCCTGGTATAGTCCTAGTATAGTCCTGGTATAGTCCTAGTATAGTCCTGGTATAGTCCTTGAATAATCCTTGTGTAGTCCTTGTGTTGTCCTAGTATAGTCCTTGAATAGTCCTTGTATAGTCCTAGTATGATCCTTGTATAGTCCTGGTATAGTCTTAGTATAGTCCTTGAATAGTCCCAGTATAGTCCTTGAATAGTCCTTGTATAGTCCTGGTATAGTCCTTGAATAGTCCTTGACTAGTACTTGTATAGTCCTTGTTTAATCCTTGTTTAGTTATTGAATAGTCCTTGTAAAGTCCTTGTGTAGTCCTTGAATAGTCCTTGTAAAGTCCTTGTGTAGTCCTTGAATAGTCCTTGTAAAGTCCTTGTGTAGTCCTTGAATAGTCCTTGTATAGTCCTTGTAAAGTCCTTGCTCCCTGTGTGTGTGCCTCAGACTCTTCTATATTTGTGTATCGTCTGCGACACATGTTCTTGTACTTGGCTGAGCAGATAGGTCAGCGCTCGACACGGGCCTCGCGCTTTTAGCCACACAGACATTCAGAGGGGGCCGACGGGAGGAGCCGTGTTTTCACCTCTCAATTATTGAAGAGCGATGAAAAATGCAGAGGCCATCAGAGGCCATCAGAGGCCCCAGGGACCTGACCCGGGTTTAATGGATTAAGCACACGTAAACACATCGGGACCAAAAACACTGAGTTTAGACCAAGAAAGGGCTATTTATGAATCAGGGACGAGCGGGGGGGGCAGTGGCTCAGGTGGAAGAGCATTGGCCTCTCCACTGACTCCCACTGATGACTGCTGTTGTTGTGTCCTTTGGCAAGACACAACCACTTTGCCTGAACCCCAGCTGAAAGACCAAGGCTCTTGTGGACTCAGCACCTGCAGGAGGATCAGTGAGGGGCTGATGCTATGTGGACTGGGTGGAGCTCTGACTGCCACCCCCCCGAAGTCGCAATATTGATCCACAAAAGAGTGAAACGTGGTCAATACAGGTGGCCCAAGAATGTATTTATTATAGTAAATAAACTACACACATGTACTTCAACAGGACTGGAGTCGTTTGATTTACCAAAGAAAAACAAATCTAAATGGACAATAATTCTTACCGTAGTTTATCTCTTTCCCAACACATAGTTTACATCCCAAAGTTTTCACCTCTATTGAATCGTGTTGTGTGATTATTTATAATTTCACTCTTGCATTTGTGAAGCCCATAGTACTCGAGTGCACACACATGTAATCCTCTTCCTAGTGACACAAAGAAACACAAATCTTTCTAAGCACCACTACAGGAAAACCCGACACCAAACACAGCCTCTTGTCTCTCTGTGGATCAATCTCCTGCAGTTCAATAACACTCAGGCCTGGTGTCACGCTCAAACAGGCCCCCGGGTCACTGCACCGCTGAGACAAAAGTTCTTCTGTCACTGCTGGCTCAATGCTGTTGAATATTTGATGGATGTGGTGTTATGTGGTGAGGTAAAAAAATAAATAATAGTAATAATTGAAAATGGGAGTGTTTGCTGGGTTTGCCTGTCCTTCAAGGCAGGGAAGATAAAGTAATTGGAAAAGCTTACGCGGCTTTTTGTTTTGGCTCATTACGTGAAAATAGCAATCATTAAATTCATATCAAGTGGCTGGAGCTTTGAAGTCATAAACTAATGGAATGGAAAAGGCTTTTGCTGCTTGGACTGGGCTAGTATGATTCTATCTCATACCAGCTCGACTGAGAGTTTTCTTATCAACATCTTAGTCCAATAAAACTCATCATTAGATCTTTGAAACGGAACAGCAGACTTACCTTCGGCAGAGCGTACTTAGGAAACCGCATCTGGACAAACTCGTTGCGACGATACGAGACGTAGTGCTTTGTACGATTCCCGATGGTCACCTGAAGAGAGAGGACACAAAACACAGACACACTTGGTAAGTTTGGGATTTTAAGTGAAGAAATTAGGAATGGTCTCGCTCTCTGGTCCCTCGCATCGGTCTCTTTGCCAGTCTCTCTCTGGTCTCTATCTTTGTTCTCTCACTCTAGTCTCTCTCTTTGGTCTCTCTTTCTCTGGTCTCTCTCTCTTTGGTCTCTTTCTGGTCTCTCTCTCTGGTCTCTCTTTCTCTAGCCTCTCTCCGGTTTCTCCCTGGTCTCTCTCTCTAGTCTCTCTCTCCAGTCTCTCTCTAGTCTTTCCTTGTTCTCTCTCCGGTCTCTCTGGTCTCTCCCTGTTCTCTCTCCAGTCTCTCTCTGGTCTCTCCCTGTTCTCTCTCCGGTCTCTCCCTGGTCTCTCTCTCTGGTCTCTCCTTGGTCTCTCTCTCTGATCTCTCCCAGGTCTCTCCCTGGTCTCTCCCTGGTCTCTCTCTGGTCTCTCCCTGGTCTCTCTTTCTGGTGTCTCTGATCCCTGCACAGCGACCACTGTACCCCTTTAGAAGAACTCAGAATTTGGTCTAGTTTTTCAAAGCTTTTAATTATCTTTTATACCGTCTTTATGGTAATGTATGCAACCAGTATTTGTCTATAAACCTTTTAATATTCACCACAGACTACATTTGGGACCAGATTGTGGCTGAAACCAGCAGAAGGCCATTTCTGACAAGTCCCTTTCAAATAAAGTGTTCTTGGGTACACGCACTTTCCCGTTGGCTGCATTAAGGCCGCACTCGCCATCTGCCTCCGACTCTGCAAAGGTCACGACTCAGCAGTGAATACATCTAACTCTCCACCGACGAACTGAACTTCTGCTAAAAACTTCTGCGTCACTGAAGACCCAGAAGTTTTTAGAGGAAGTAACAGCCAATCAGCTTCAGTCAGCTCAGTCATCAGCCAATCAGCTTTTATCATGTTTTTTTACACATTTTTACAAATTACACTCAGTCACAGGTTTAATTGTTTTCGCCATATTGTGTTGATCTATGAAAAAAACACACTTTTTTCTCCCCGCTCTTTGACATGTGAAGCATGTGAGCGTCCATACAAGTTCTGTATAAAAAAAATGCATTATCATGAGTGGTCTCCAACTCCCGGTCATTCCCCAGACCGCCAAAGTAAGACTCCTTTAGTTTGACAAATGACCGGATCTCTCCCTTCGTCTTGGTCACTTGACACGGTTGCGGTAATATGTAAATAATTTTGCCTCCACCGCATGTGTGTGGAGAGGTTTTAATGGATGCGTGGCGGGATGGGATGTCTGTGGGAGCTGTTCTTTTTGCCTGTGCATACAACTGAAGAATTGTCACTTTTTAATGCACCGTTGTTATTCATTATTGTAATCCTTTGTGTGATTTTAATGGTATTACTGTTTTTAATTACCTGTGTGATTTTAATTGTATTTTTAATGGTGATTTTGTGTTTGTTTTATGTAATGATTTGTGCTGTGGACTGTGAGGCCCTTTGTGTTGCCCTGTGAAGGAAAAGCGCTCTATAACCAAAGATTGATTGATTGAACTTAAAAATAAAACCACAGAATATTTTATCCCTAAAAGCCCTGGTGAGTGTGGCACAAACAATATCTGAGTTGGAGGAGTTTATTTTATAATGTAAGTGATTAGGAGCTAGAGCTAGCTAAAGCAAATGTCTCTATTGGGCTTCATTGAGCTAGCGGGTTAGCATTGTCCTCCTGTTTACAATCTATCGTAGTCACAAGAGTTTTACACGCCATGACCCTATGTGGGGTGACTGACAACCAATCCGACCAATCAGAAGACAGCACTGCCTTATATTGTGTTCTAATAGAAAACCTGCAGGTGTTTCTGAACTTCTGTGGGGACCTTTCCACTGCTGGGATCCGTCACGTCAGCGAGAAAGATTGAGTTGTGATTAGAGGTAGACGACAGGAGCAGGTTTAGCGTTGGAGAAGGGGGAAAAAAAAACTGCTATGAGAATGTTTGAAGTCTCGAAGGTCCCTGAAGGCAGCGCTAAGCTTTCAAAAGACTTCTATCTGACAATGCATATCTGTATAGAGACACTTTTGAGAATGTGATGACTAACCTGTAATATGTTTATGAATAATGCAGGGAGGCAGTTATAACAGTGCATCTGTGGTGTTATGTGTTAGCTTGCTGTCAGTGAGATGTAAAACTCTAAAAAAAGTAAAAAAGGTAAAAAAGAAAGTATTCTGGTTAAAATATAGAGAGCAAGTCTGGAGCTAAGACTTAAAGACGTGAATTTACTTCTATTAAGTTCTTTGTGTTGTTTAGTACAGTGTCATAGTCATCAATTTGTATGTCCTTGACCTGGGTGTTAAGGACATACACCTTGTGTGTATTGTACTCTATTGTAAGTGCTGTAAGCCTCGGTCCTGGATCTACAGCCTCAGTCCTGGATCTACAGCCTCGGCCCTGGATCTACAGCCTCAGTCCTGGATCTATAGCCTCAATCCTGGATCTACAGCCTCAGTCCTGAATCTACAGCCTCAGTCCTGAATCAACAGCCTCAGTCTTGGATCTACAGCCTCAGTCCTGAATCTACAGCCTCAGTCCTGAATCTACAGCCTCAGTCCTGAATCTACAGCCTCAGTCCTGGATCTACAGCCTCAGTCCTGGGTCTACAGCCTCAGTCCTGGGTCTACAGCCTCAGTCCTGGATCTACAGCCTCAGTCTTGGATCTACAGCCTCAGTCCTGAATCTACAGCCTCAGTCCTGAATCTACAGCCTCAGTCCTAGATCTACAATGACAATAAAAATGATTCTGATTTTATGTGTTTGTCATTATTGCATTTTCTGTTTTCAGAATGGTTTGATTCTCTGATCTATTGTTCGCAAATGGTCAACTTTGTAATGTCCTACGAGGCAACTGCAAATGTGATTATAGGGCTGTATGAATGATTTAAACTGAATAAAAAAAAAAAAAACATCAGCAAATTTGAAAAAAATAAAACTATTATTGAAGGATAACCCAATCTTTCTGTAAACTCACTAACTCTGTGAACCGAACACAGTCCCTTTGATGTGAAAATAAACTGGCCACTCACCAAATCGCAATAAGTTTAATTTAACATTTGGTGCATGTTATAAGTTTGGAAACTGAGACATGACCACTGAATGAGATACAATTCAACTCAGAAAGTAACTTATTTACATTTTAATTGTACAGTCACACATATAGGCCGACCCACGGACTGCTTATGTGACTAATGTGACGGTGGCGGGTGGAAAAACACAACTTTCTCTCGCTAATGAGCTGATGTAAGCAGCCGGAAACTCACAATATTTGACATAAAGTAGTAATTTATGGAGTTTTAGGCACTTATCTGCAGTTCTTTAGTCTGTGTCTGTAGCAATATAAACAAACAACTACTTTTTTGAGACCAAAGCATTCCCAACCCTCGCACACATACGTAATATTAAGGAAACATAATGTGCAAATCAACTTTCTTTAAAAAACGTTTCAGTACGTTACAACATTGTTCCTCATCCAAACCAGATGAGATAGATCCACTCCGGTCATATTTCACATTCCAAATTTTCCATTTTCCCTTCTTATGTGTCAGTATTGGTTTGAATAGATCTGCGGAGGCTTCTCACCTTCACAAAGATGTAGCTGTCCTGCACCAGGAGAGAGTTGTGGTCGATTTTCCCCAAAAACTGAGCCGTCACCATTTTGTCCGAGCAGTTCTGGATCAGGCAGGTCACGTACAGGTACCCTGCAGGGACAAGAAGCATAGTGGGTTTGATGTATGGACAATTCTAAAATGTATGAAGCTACAAAGAAGACAACATGGACCGTCTAAATGTTTCTGTTTTTATGGTGGTAGAGTTGAACAGACGTCATTGCAGTTTATGGACTTTAGTTTATGGATTATTTTGACTCATTCTAATGTGGGGGAAGTGTCTTGCCTAAGGACACATCCACAGTTTGGCACTTTACAGCCGCAGCCGCCCTACTGTGGCATCTGGTGTTCCCAGAGGTCTCCCATCACAGTGCTAACAAGGCCCTGCTCTGCTTAGCTTCAGAGGTCTGAGAGGATCTGGCTGTATATGAAGTGAATGAATAATGTGAAGTGTCTTGAGAGTCCAAAAAAGTGCTATTTAAAACCAATGCAGTTTAATATTTTTGTAATAACTGTTGGTTGAAAATGTCAAAATGTTCTTTCTTTCAACATTTAAATGGTTTCTACACAGCTGTGGTTGATGGTCCAGTCAACAGTGAAAATGATAAAAACAAACTTGGAAGAATAATGGAAAATCTTGAGCTAATCTGTAAATATCTTGACTGAGGGTTATGAGTCTGAGCTTGAAGCCGTTACATGCACTTAAATCTATACAGTAAAAACCAGAACCACACATACACCCACTAAACATCCGACGTCCACTCAACCTCCAGATCACGTCAATATCGCGTCGGTCGGTCGTGACCTTTTATTTACGTCCAAACGACGTCTGTGCAAGGTGCGCATCTGGACGTAAAACAATGACCTCCCATATACGTGGATATGACGTTCAATCCCGACCTCCCCTAGACGTTGAAAACAGGTCATCGGCCGTCCGACGCAGTACGTCTTGATCTAGCAATACAATATATAGGCTGTGAACTAACCTAAGTGAACCTGACGGTAGTGTAGTGGTTAAGCAAATGTGTGCAGCCTTGGTTACGTGAGTTCGAGCCCACGTGTGTGTATTATTATCTTTACATATTTGTTTTGATTTTTAACGAACAATTTTTTTCTGTTTGGTTAAAGACTAATAAACACTCATCATAGGATTACGTAGTGGCTAATAATAAAACTTGTGAATGTATGCATTTGTTGTGCTAACAATCTCAAGTTTGCAAATAAGGGGTGAGCACTTGAGATTTTATGCAAATGCATGGGTTCACAAGTTTTATTATTAGCCTCTACATAATCTTATGTTGAGTGTTTTTAACCAAACAGAAAAATTGTTCGCTAAAAAGTGAAAAGTCAAAAGTTTTCCGACTGGGATTTGAACCCGCGTCGTTGCGATATCTCATTACGCAACCGCTACACCACGGCCAGGCATTTTTTCTGACTACTGTGAAAAAATAATACATAACACCCTAAACAACCGACGCACACTTATGCGCCGCACGAGTATAACTTAGGCTTTACAGCCTGACACGTGAGCCGCTCGGTCGAGGACCTGTTTTCCACGTCTAAACGACGTAAGGTGTGCATCTGGACGTAAAGCAATGCCTTCCCAGACGTTGATATGACGTTGAATCTGTACCTCTGTCGCTGCCCTGCTTTATTTACTTGAAATCACCCTCTCTAGTAAGTACACAGTCTGCACAGTTTTTAGATATAGATGTATCATTTCCACATTGAAAAGAGTTGGAGACAGAAAGTAAGTTGTTTTCTCACGTATACGTGGATTTTGTTAAGTATATTTTGTATATTATCTGTATTTTGAATTGCCAGTGCATGAATCTATAATAATAACGGCTCAGCTGAAAGGGAGACACCTTTTTTTTGTTTTTAAGTTAAAGTTTAAAATATGATATTGTTTTTCATATTTCAAACTATTTTTAACACATTAGAATTCTTAGGTTAGACTGTCCAACAAACTATGTGTTAAAAAAGGTTAAGATTCTTGAGTTTTAAAATAATAATTCAATTCTAAAATGTAAAGTTATATTTCACAATGGTTTATAAACTGCAAAAAGACAACAGTACTTAGTAAACTAAGTTTAAAAACAGGGAGATCAGCTTTAATATTTGGGACACTCCCATCATTTAGACACCTGTGATGTCATCAGTTGGAGTTGAGTTCAGGTGTGGGACCATGTGGGACCATGTGGGACCATAGGAGCACACAGATGTTACCTGCTGCAGAAAGAGAGTTTAATGTTCATGTATTGCTTTGTTTAATAAATGGATTTAATGTCTTCCCAGGTCTTCAATGTCAGAGACTTTCACTTCTTCTCACTGTGGCTGTTTAAATGAGCCACTACAGTTGTTATTTTTGTTATTGTTAGCTGCAAATATTAAATATCCATTCATCTGCTGGTAGCAAGCTAACTAGCGCTTGCAACTCTATTCCAATTTCTTACTTTTTCTTATAAACTTTAAAACCAGCCATATGTTAATTAAAATACATTTACCTTTGCTAATGCAGTCAATTATTGTGAAATCCATAGAGTATAATTTCATGATTGTTGCAATAACTAATGTTCTGTGTGTATTCCTAATGTGTCATGTGTGTTTTGAGTCTTACAGGTGTCAGACTGTGTTGAAGGTGTTCAAAGGTAAGAATCACACTCTCACACATTGATTGTTGTTCTGTATTAATATGTTGTTTTTAGAATAAACCATTATTTGGTGTATTCTCTTTGAAAACATCTATCTTTTTCTCAGATTGTTCAGCAACTCACTCAAGATGAGGGAAAAGAGCAACAAGGGGAAAATGCCCCCTCGGAAATGCAACATGTGTAGAGTAATACAGGGTAAGTAGCTTTCAGGGCTCATTTGTCCATGTGCAAAACAAATGCACATTTGCAATTGTTTTTTACATGGAATTACTCCAATGACCAAAGCCTTATCCCAAGTTTCTCAGACGGAGTGTCTTCCAGTGTCTCGAGCTAGTGCAGTGCCAAGGTTTGTATCAAATGGTGATGGATCGAGTGGTTTGAGGCATTAATAGAAAGTTATGTGTTGTTATATCACTTTGCCACATTATGTTGAAACTAAACATGTTCCACATTTTCAGGTGCTGTGCTTGGACCTTGTAATGAGAGACTGAAGACCAAGAGAGGACACATGTTGGAACCTCAACATTCAATAAATGCATTCTTCTGCCTTTCAGATTGTGTTTTTACATCTGGGGAACCTAGAGTGTAGCTTGTGCCTGTTTTAATACTGATCCAAACATAGGCGCTACAATCATGTTTTTTTACTTTGGCATGAACTGTTCAGTACAGTAGTGTTCATAACACTGTGCCCTGTGTGGTTTAACTTGTACTTTGATGTAGAGAAACATGATTTTTAATGCAGCTCCAGTTGCAATAATGACTGATATCCTTCTACTACAGTTGTTCTAATGATTTTTTAATGCTGTGTTTATTGTTTATTGCCCAGAGTCAGAACTAAACATGATAAAGCTGCATTTCAGATTCACAAGGCTAAAATCTGGAACGGTCTTCCTGGAAATGTGAGACAGGCTTCTTCTTTGACAATGTTAAAATCCAGGTTTAAAACACTTCTGTTTCCGCTTCAACTGAGAGATTTTTTGAGAGATTTTATTTGTATCTTTTTAATTTACTGTCAATATTTATAATTGTAATGCCTTGTTTGATTGTTTCTATCTTTTGTTCAGTGCTTTGAGTTTCCTTTTGTTTTGACTGTGCTATACAAATAAACTTGCCTTGCCTATTGCAAAAAGTATGTCTCGACCAGTGAGTGATTCTGCAGAGGTTAAGTAGGTCAATAGGACTGTAAATGGACGTCATATAAACGTCAATATTTTGGTCATATAAGACGTCGAGAGGACGTCGGACCCGACCGGTTCTGTACCACATTGCAACCTTGAATGAACGTCCAGATGACGTTGGAATTACGTTGTTTTGACATCTGCTTGCTTAGTGGGAACGACTGAAAACGAACGTCATATAAACGTCAATATTTTGGTCATATGAGACGTTGATAGGACGTGAGACCCGACCGGTTCCGTACCACATTCAAACCTTGAATTGACGTGCCATCAACGTACTGTAACATTTGGAGGTTGAGGTGACGTCGGGAAACGACGTCGAGAAAACTTTCATTCTGCACCCACCAGTGACCTATATTCTACGTCGGACAACGACGTTCAAATTACGTTGATTCAACGTCGGCTTGCTTAGTGGGCAGTAGGTGACCGCTCAGACATGGAGCCGCAGAGGTGACACAGAATACAGGTGTAAAAGTGAACGAGTTGGCCCCGGACATCCACACACCGCAGGGAAAACCCTCCAAGTTCAAGGTGAGTAAACAAAGTGCTCCCAGATCCCATTCCCCACGAGCGCAGCATCAGCAGAGCTCATAAAGAAGTGACAGAGGACCGCAGAAACCGACAGAGAGAGAGAGTGCTCCCGTGTCCAATCTCCCCTGAACGCAGCATCAGCACTGTACACAGAGGCTCCCACGGGGACCAGAGAGTGCAGTGGACTTCAAATGACCTTTACAGCCTCCGGTTTTATCGACTCCGCTAGACTACGATCGCACCAGTGTTATGGCTTCACACTCACACGCAAAGTGCTTAGGCTTTTCATACATCTCAATATAAGCCCCGCCCCCTTAGTCTTGGTGTCAGGGTTAGACTTTTTCACCAACATAGGGAGGTCAACTACTGCTTGTGGAGAGTTAGATCTGTGCATCTGTAAAAGTGTATCAAGAAAAATTGCTTTATTTTCTCATTCTAAGCAAGACATTTTTTGTGTATTGGTCGGAGGGGCCGATGGCACAGACTGGTTGCCACGGTTCAGTCAGTGTGCCCCAGGGCAGCTGTGGCTACAGTAGTAGTTTATCAACACCGTGTATGAAGTGAAGGATAATGCTATGAGAAGAGTCTTTGAGTGTCCAAAAAAGCACTGTATAAAACCGATCTGTCTTCCATCTTTTTTTTCTCAAATTGCTTGCTTGCAATTGACGTCACGTCCGCCTCATTACATATGCGTATCACGAAGTGGTGGTCGCCGAGCTAGTTGTTCACTAGAGCAGCGTGTCTGAACAAGCCTTTTGCATGTGTTTTAAGTTTTCTAACCGATCAAATCGCGAAACCTTTAATGGATACTTTATCAATCTCTTCATGAGGAACCCTAAAGCACCTCACACAAAGGACTTCACGAAAAGACGCAGGAAAAGTGGCTCACTAACATTTTACTAGCAAACGCTTTTACCTCGAAGGATTATTTATTTTCCCAGCCATGCAGTCACAATGCGCAGTTATTACATCTTTATTTAAGTAATTGTCAGGTATGAGTTGGTGTTTTAGATAAACACTGATTGATTGTAACACTAGATAGTGGATTAGAATCTAAAGTGAAGAAAATGACAGTCTAGGATTGTGTCTTTAATTCAGACAGAAGACAGTTTTTATTGTCGATGGTAGAGACAGCATAAACAAAGACGTTACAGAATGTAAGTGACATACAGCGGAGGAATGGAGACTTATTAGTATTATTAGCGTATTAGCATTTGCCACAAGTAGCTTCAACCTTGATATTACCAAAACATGTAGCGGAAAAATACTCCCTTGTGCATATTATTAGAATGATGAGTTAGAACGTTAACCACAGTAGCTTCAAAGTGTCATGAAATATCCAAAAAAGCTAAGAAATACTCGGAAGAGTCGAATTCACTTCGCATATCAGCAGCAACTTTTGCTGGCCTGACCACCACTTCGTCAACCGGAAGTTTATGCATCACGTGACTGCAAGCCAAGAATAGACAAAAAACCTGTTGGTTACAGCAGTAAATAGACTTCTCGGCCTAATGAAAATGTCTTGCAGGGTGAAGGTATTTGGTTCTCAATCTACTCAGACGACAAGACGAAGCTCCCTAAACTACAGGGTCAATGATGCACCGTTCCCAAGTCGTCCCGAAGATCCACTTCTCGAGTCTTTTTAAACAAATGTCTCGATTCAATGAGTGCAACCGTCTGCTGTTTAATCAGAGCGGCGTGTGGGGAGCCTCATTAAAACACCATTAGATTAGGCTAAGTGTTGCGTCGCTCTGCCCACCTCTCCTCTCCAAACACATACATTATGCACCCTCCACACTCTCCACACCTGTGCAGACTTATGACGAGTGTGGAAATCCATAACTCATCACCGTTTATCAGCGCAAATCAGTTTGGGTTAGACATGTTTTTCTGCCCATTTGCATGTTGTGAATACGTCTGTGGCCCGGGACATCAATCTTCGTAATGCAGTCTCCCCCTGAAGGCTGGCAGTGGGCCTGGGTCATCCATCATGGACCTCCCCCGTCTGTCCCAGGGCCCAGCTTCACCCGCTGTAAACCACTGGGTCCAGAGAAGTGGCATAGAGGAGGGATAGAGTTTTATGAACGAGATTCTATTTTACAGTGTATGCACGGCTTTTTCTTTCTCTGGTCTCTCTCTGGTCTCTCTCTGGTCTCTCTCTCTCTTTGGTCTCTCTCTAGTCTCTCTCTGGTCTCTCTGTGGTCTCTCTGTGGTCTCTGGTCTTTCCAAAGCCCTCAGTCCCGCTTATGCCCCTCAGTGTCCTTTGTCGCTTTATTTTAAGATGTATGCATGGCTCTTGACAACTTGGCAGCACTCAAACCTTCAACCAACTGGTTTGCTATCTCTAGTCTCTCTCACTTTATCAGTCGTGAGTTCAGGTTGTTAGAAAAGTGATTTTACTGCCTTAAAACATACAGCTGCTCATAGCTTATTGCTTATTTTTAAGAGCAAAACCTCAGTGATAAACAAGGGACCATTGTATTTAGTTACAATTTCATCCAAATAAATGATGAGAGTGGAGTTACCTCCACTGGCGTCCTGCATTTCCATGTGCACCAGGTCCGGATCCGAGTCCACACCAGACACCGACCTGAGGACAGGGAGGATATTTGAGTTAACAAACAAGCTAGATACATAGATAGATAGAAACAGTTTGGTGACATAAGTCCTAATCATAACTATAAATAACAAATGATAGTAAAATACACAACAAACCCAGTATTCTTTCATTTTGTTCTACAAGGTCAACTTCCCCTGTCGAGATGTTGCATTGAAATATTAATTCCATTTAAGGCTCCCTGGGGGTTCGCACATTGGTTACGTTATGCTAACACTAATGATGTGTAGACAGGTAGACCGCAGCGAGTCCTTGGTCCAAGCCCCCCTCCCTCAGCAGCAGAGGGAACTCTTAGCTCCAGGAGGCAAATGCAAATGTCTGTAATCAAGGGAAGAACTGACAAAAAGGAGATGATGAGAGAAGAGACCAGACAGAGACAAGAGGGAGACCAGACAGAGACTAGAGGGAGACCAGAGAGAGACTAGAGAGATACCAGAGCGAGACTAGAGAGATACCATACAGAAACCAGAGAGAGACCAGACAGAGACCAGAGACCAGAGAGACTAGAGAGAGACCAGTGAGGGACCAGACAGAGACTAGAGAGACCAGACAGAGACTAGAGAGACCAGACAGAGACTAGAGAGAGACCAGAGAGAGACTAGAGAGAGACCAGAGAGAGACCAGAGAGAGACCAGACAGAGACTAGAGAGACCAGACAGAGACTAGAGAGAGACCAGAGAGAGACCAGACAGAGACTAGAGAGACCAGAGAGAGACTAGAGAGAGACCAGAGAGAGACCATACAGAGACTAGAGAGACCAGACAGAGACTAGAGAGAGACCAGAGAGAGACCAGGCAGGGACTAGAGAGACCAGACAGAGACTAGAGAGAGACCAGTGAGAGACTAGCGAGAGACTAGAGAGTGACCAGTGAGACACCAGAGAGAGAAGAGAGAGACACCAGAGAGAGACCTCAGAGAGACCAGAGAGAGACCAGAGAGAGACCAGAGAGAGACCAGAGAGAGACCAGAGAATGACCAGAGAGGAAGACCAGAGAGAGAGACCAGAGAAGAGACCTGGGAAAGTCCAGAGAGAGACCATAGAGACACAAGAGAGCGAGACCAGAGAGAGAGAAACCCCCCCTCCCAGACACAATAATGACTAAACTGATCTTTTCAAAATGTACCGTCTCCCATGATGCACTTTGCGGCTTTGCTTTTCTCATTCATAAATATCGCAAACAAACGGGCGCTACACATGGTTTTATTGCTTTGCCAAACACATAAACAGTTGAAGTCCACATTTCTCCATAAATTACCGCCCTGACCTTCTCCCAGACGCCTCACTATTTACAGCTGGCAGGATTTCCCGCAGGTTTACCGAGCACCTCTGTTGTGTGCCGAGCCTGCTTTACGATCCGAGATTATCTCCGTCTAGACGCTCTGTGCTCTGTGTGTGTGTTTTAAAAAAAATAAATGCAAGGACTTTTGTGGCTTGAGTTTGAGTATGTGTTGTTTTGGAACAGACCGGAGGTGAAGGCTGGACGAAGACCAGAGAGGAGAGAGGACCAGGAGGGAAGTGGTTTTAGATTTTAGGTCACACATTAGAAAAGCCAGAGACTAGAGAGACCAGAGAGGGAGACCAAAGAGAGAGACCAGAGAGAGACCAAAGAGAGAGACCAAAGAGAAAGACCAGACAGAGAGACCACAGAGAGGAACCAGTGAGAGAGACAAGACAGAAAGACCAGAGAGAGACCAGAGAGAAAGACCAGAGAGAGACCAGAGAGAGACACCAGAGGGAGACCAAATAAAGAGACCAGAGAGAGACCAGAGAGACCCCAGAGAGCAGTGAGAGAGACAAGAGAGAAAGACCAGAGAGAGACCAGAGAGGAGAGAGGACCAGGAGGGAAGTGGTTTTAAGATTTTGGGTCACACATTAGATTAGCCAGAGACCAAAGAGACCAGAGACCAAAGAAAGACTAGAGAGGGAGACCAAAGAGAGAGACCAGAGAGAGAGACCAGAGAGACCCCAGAGAGGGACATGTGAGAGAGACAAGAGAGAAAGACCAGAGAGAGACCAGTTTAAGAAGATTCATCTTGTCTTCTTAGTAGAATTAAAAGTATTGGGTTCTTCTATACTTCTCCAGCGACCACCACTGGACGGCAGAGGGCGCAGTCAGCCCGGTGAACCACATAGGTTGGTTGGGCTGACTGCGCCTGAGAACAGCAGCTGATAAAAGGCACGCCATGTCTGACGTGAGATGCTTCTGAGGAAGACGGAAGTTAACGAAACATGTCAAGGTAATAACACCACAAAAACCTTATATTGTCTGGTATAGCAGAAAGAGACCAGATAGAAAGACCAGAGAGAGATCAGAGAGAGAGACCAGAGAGAGACCAGAGAGAGAGACCAGAGAGAAAGACCAGAGAGAGACCAGAGAGAGACCAGAGAGAGAGACCAGAGAGAGAGACCAGAGAGAAAGACCAGAGAGAGACCAGAGAGAGAGACCAGAGAGAAAGACCAGAGAGAGACCAGAGAGAGACCAGAGAGACACCAGAGAGAGACCAGAGAGAGACCAGAGAGAGACCAGAGAGACACCAGAGAAAGGTGCTCAGCTCTGAAAAAGGACTGTGATCTGTCTGTCCTGGAGGTTCTTTATGAATCCAGACTTTTTAATCCAGACTCTTCGAATAATCAAGACATTTCTGGTCGCTTTGAGAATCAATGTTCCAGCTTCTTCCTTTTATGGCCATTGGTCTCTGTCCCTGATGGACCAATGACTGTGTTTTTTTTTTTTTTATCATTGCCTTTCCTGAGTGAAATGATCCTTTCTAGTCTCTCGTGGACTTATAATAATCCCACATGAATCAACAGCTGCAGAAAGTGTTTTGTGGATTCCAAACGGAGCAGATTATGACGGTGCAGTTTTTGGGGGCGGGTACAGTTTGGAGGGATCCAGGCGGACTTGTTCCAGCCTCGTATCTGATGTGATTCATATCTGTTATTTACCAGAGAGAGAACAAGCCATCAAACTGTCGGGCGGCCTGATACGCTCCATACGGATCCCGAACACATCTTGTTTATTTATGAAGTGCTTTTATCTGCTCCTGTCTTGCCTTTGCCAGACTGTGGGAATTAGTTTGTTAGGGTCAGACAGGTGGAGACAGGAGCTACTGGACCCAAACTCATTTCATCTACTCATGAAGTTCATTCACAAAACACAAATATCTTGAACATTTGGCTGTAGCTTATTGGCAAAAATGTTCAATAAGGATTTACATTTGTATGGCATTAAATGATCTATCTATCAACATATCTCTCTTTCTCTCTCCATCCATCTATCTATCAACATATCTCTCTTTCTCTATCTATCCATCTATCTATCAACATATCTCTCTTTCTCTCTCTATCCATCTATCTATCAACATATCTCTCTTTCTCTATCTATCCATCTATCTATCAACATATCTATCTTTCTCTCTCTATCCATCTATCTATCAACATATCTATCTTTCTCTCTCTATCCATCTATCTATCAACATATCTCTCTTTCTCTCTCTATCCATCTATCCATCAACATCTCTCTCTCTCTCTCTTTCTACCTATCTCTATATTTATCTACAGTATCTACATCTGGCTTTTGAAAAAAAAAAAGAAAAAAAACAATTCAATGCAAAACCTGATAAATATTTAAATCATAAATAATCACAGTACATTCAAAAGAGTAAAACATAAGAAACACAGAGACCAGAGAGAGACCAGAGAGAGACCAGAGAGAGACCATAGAGAGACTAGAGAGAGACCAGAAAGAGATCAGAGAGAGACCAGAGAGAGACCAGAAAGAGATCAGAGAGAGACCAGAAAGAGATCAGAGAGAGACCAGAGAGAGACCAGAGAGAGACTAGAGAGAGACCAGAAAGAGACCAGAGAGAGACCAGAGAGAGACTAGAGAGAGACCAGAAAGAGATCAGAGAGAGACCAGAGAGAGACCAGAGAGAGACCAGAGAGAGACCAGAGAGAGACCAGAGAGAGACCAGAGAGAGATCAGAGAGAGATCAGAGAGAGACCAGAAAGAGATCAGAGATAGATAGATAGATAGATAAATGCTTTATTGTCAGATACAAGGATCCGAAATTTGTTTTGCAGTTCAGCAGCTCCGTAAAAATACAAACAAGACATACAGGTATAAGACAATTCACAAAGACATTATAAACAATTGTCCGCTCGCCATAACACACTTTGATTTTATGACTTAAGATCCTCGTTTAGCTTCAGGATGGACTGATGGACAAAGGAGTTCCTCAACCTGACTTTATTAAAATGTGGCACACGGTACCGCCGCCCTGATGGTAACAGCGCATATTCGAGGTTCAGAACATGGCCGGGGTCTGAAGTGATGTTCTTAGCCAGTCGCAGTGTGTTGCTATGGTATGCAGCCTCGTACAGTCCATCCAGGGGCTGTCCTACAATCTTTGAGCAGATTTTAATCAAGTGTCTCAGTCCAGATTTAGCAGTGACAGAGAGACAGCTGTACCACACAGCGTTACAGTACTGCAGGACACTGAGAATCACAGAAGTGAAGAACAGAAGCAACACCTGACGAGACGCTCCAAAAGACCGCAGGCGACGGAGGAAATATATTCTTTGTTTAGTCTTTTTACAGATGAAGTCAATGTGGTGTTTCCAAGACAAGGAACAGTCTAAGACCACACCCAGATATTTGAATGACTCCACCTGTTTGATTGGCTCGTTGTTGATGATAGTGGGAGCTGTGGTTACTGGGTTTAAACTAAATACCACCTCCTCTGTTTTTTTGGTGTTTATTTCCAGAGCGTTGTTTTTGCTCCAAATCACAACCTTGTCTATGCCCTGCTGGTGCAGCCCAGGACTGTCAGTATTTGACAGAAGGGTCACCAGGACCGTGTCATCCGAATATTTGAAGATGTGTTGACCAGAGATAGATCAGAGAGAGACCAGAAAGAGATCAGAGAGAAACCAGAGAAAGACCAGAGAGACCAGAGAGAGACCAGAGAGAAACCAGAAAGAGAGACCAGAGAAACCAGAGAGAAACCAGAGAGAGAGTAAAGACACAATCCCTCAGTTGTATGCACAGCTAAACACGACTGTTTTGAACCTGGATTTGAACATTGTCAGACATAGAAGCCCGTCACACATATATCTGAAACGTGATCGCTGACATCTCCCCACATCACAGAGAAAAGTATGGTCCCAGCTACAGACCCTCCTCATTTCTCCAACCCTCTCTCTCTGACGGCCATTCTTCAAGCTAACAATGTATCATTAGCTTGTGCGCGGAGGCGGCGGCGTATTGCTCGTCCGGCCTCTGCTCTTTAAGACGATGATTTGTGTGGCGGCTGCTCTGGTGTTTATCGCTCCCTCTCCGACTGAGCCACAAACTGGATCCACCTCCGAAAAGCTCCAGCAGTGATTTGAATGTGCAAACAGCGGCTCTGCGGTGGAGGCCGAGTTATGGGGAGTTACCGACGGGACTTATGTATGAGCAACAAGACGGATCGGGAACAGCGAGCGGCGTGTGGAGGCCTGCATTATAAGGCGGTGAGTTTACTTTTTAAAGCTGGGGTACCTGACTTTTTTTTTGTAAATACACGGAGAATGGCAAAAGTTTGTCATGTCTTGTGTATGTTGAAGGCTTGGACGGTTCTTTAGATAAGACTGAGAGTGTAAAGAAGCTAGCACTACTTAAAGTAGTACTAGAATTTAATATGCTGCTATCCAGAATATATAACTACAATATGTGTTTATAATATTTCGGGTGTTCATTTTGACATGTTCAGATGAATTATGTTAAAAAAACAGCTTTGAAGTTGGACCTTTTCACAAACGCTAGGGGGAGCCAAAATGGCGGCGATGACGTAGGAGAAGGGTATCTCACAGCAGCAGACAGCAGTTTTAGCTGGAAACTGTAGGAGGTTTTACTGTCATCTGAACAAGGTAAAAACATATTTTCATCCATTTTGTACATAATAGTGTGCAACTCTTTTAACCTTTTAGCCTTATTTGTGAGATTCAAGCTTATTAGTGTTGGGCAAGTTAGCTAACTCTACTTGATATCATAAAACATGCTAACAAGGCTAATATTCATTTTTACATTATGCCAGTCTCACTTTGGTTGCCTTAGATTTATTTACCACAATGTACATTGTAATATCCATAAATGCTAATCAAAATAACTTGAATTAAATAAATATTTTACTTTTATGAACAAAAAGCTGCAGAAGTTGAAAACATAGACTACATGTGATGCAATCAGTGATAAAAATGCTAATTAAACCGTTAATAGGTGTTAGCATTTATGGATATTACAATGTACATTGTGGTAAATAAATCTAAGGCAACCAAAGACTGGCATAATGTAAAAACGAATATTAGCCTTGTTAGCATGTTTTATGATATCAAGTAGAGTTAGCTAACTTGCCCAACACTAATTAGCTTGAATCTCACAAATAAGGCTAAAAGGTTAAAAGAGTTGCACACTATTATGTACAAAACTGATGAAAATATGTTTATACCTTGTTCAGATGACAGTGAAACCTCCTACAGTTTCAGCTAAGACTGCTGTTCTCTGCTGTGAGATACCCTTCTCCTACGTCATCGCCGCCATTTTGGCTCCCCCTAGCGTTTCTATGCGGAAGTGAAAAGGTGCCACTTCAAAGCAGTTTTTTTAACATAATTCATCTGAACATGTCAAAATGAACACCCGAAATATTATAAACACATATTGTAGTTATATATTCTGGATAGCAGCATATCAAATTCTAGTACTACTTTAATTACCACATGTGAAAGCCAGATCCCATCAGACCTCGGAAGCTAAGCAGGGCAGGGTCTGGTTAGTACTGTGATGGGAGATCTCTGGGAACAGCAGGTGCCACAGTGGGGTGGCTGAGGCTGTACAGTGCCAGACTGTTGCTGTGTCCTTAGGCAATACGCTTCACCCACATTGCCGAGAATGAGTCTGGTGTGTGTGTGTGAATGGTTGGTGGTGGGAGGGGGCAATGGCACAGACTGGTTGCCTCGCTTCTGTCGGTGTGCCCCAGGGCAGGTGGTTGGTCTGCTACAGATTGGTCAGACTGGCCACGCCCCCTGCATCGCTGTGGTTTCTAGAGAAGTAAGTCCCAAGTGTGAGGCAAGTGTAATGTCCCAGTCCATCATGGGATCCTCTCTTGTGGAGATGTTGTTGATTTGAGGTTTTCCTGTGTTGCTTTGTCCTTCATCTTGTTACTCGCGCTGCAGTTTGTCAGACTGACCACATCCAGGAACATCAGTAACACCAGAATTATAACATTTAAAGTCTTCTGTACTGTTTTTTATAATATTTTAGCAACTTATTTCTTATGTACCTGTGACTGTGTGAAAGAGAGCAGCCCGCACCACCGTCAGTTCTTTCGGGATCAATAATAGGGGTGGGAACCTAAGGGTACCTCACGATACGATACGATACACGATACAAAGCTAACGAAAACGATAATATCACGATAACGATATCACGATAACGATTTTATCACGATATGACGATTATTGATATATTGGTCAGAAATATACAATATGCCAATTTATGGTATAGATAAAAGAAAAAATACTCTTTATTTCATGATAAATGGAATGGAGATGCGTAATGTAGCCATATATTAAGTATTGATACCAATACAGTAGGTCCCATTTCGTTTTGTCGCCTTTCATGCGTGAATAGCACGAGACTCACGTGTGAAACACGCGTCTTTTATTTTTTTTTCCCCCAGTGATGCTGCAATGACCCAAAAAACCACCAGGTGGCACTTGTGAGCAGTGCCACCTTGAGCTTTATGACAGTCATAAAGCTCAAGTCTTTGGCGCAGGAGGACCTGGGTTCGAGTAAAAGTAAGACTTTTGATACAACTCCACAATCAGCACCAAGTTATGAAGATAAAATTATTCCACTTTTGTACTGGCTTTTTATCTTTGCAGGGTTAGGAACATTGTCGGAAAATCTTCTGCTTTTAACCTCTTAACTCCCACCTGAACCGAGCAGGTTTTCTCCAGTGTTAAAAAAAAAAAACGTAGTAATTAGGCCAACACATTTAAAATAGTTGCTAGACTGTAGTAAACTGTTGTAAACTTCACAATCTGCACCAACCAAACTGCAGGAAAAAAATGCAACTTTATTCAGTAACGGAGTAATCTGATTCATATACTCCCCCCGCTAATAAAAATTGAGGATTGGCTGGGGCTCGAACCCCGATCATCCAAGCGAAAGTCTTGGACAATCCTGCTACGCCACACAGGCGCTGTAGAAAACACTGGATCTAATAGGAGAGAGCGCTGAGTGAATGAGCCGTGCGTATGTGCGGGACGCTTAAAATGCCTTATATGCAAGTTAATGCAAATGTTTGCCATATGATCTGCTACTCCTGTGCATTTTAGAATTCCTAATTAATGGTAGCTATATGTAACATGTGTAGTTTAAATTTTTGTAATTATACACAGCCTATATATTGCTAATCAAAGTAAAAGTATTCAGAATACAGTGTACACTCGTGTTTGTTTTGTTCCAATGTTTCACGTTCAATAACGCACTTGCTGCTGGCTATCCCATACTGTAGAAGAAGTCAGAAAGGAACTTTTTTTATTAAAAAATAAGAAGTAAAAATAAGTAATAAAGTAAAATACAATTGTATTGTTACAGTACTTACAATACAGTGCAGTAAGTTAGTACAGTGTTTTACAGAGTCAATCCTTTGACTTTAAACCGCGTTTTGATAGGCCCGAAGTGAGCAACAAATCCTTTTGACAAGGAAAGAAGATAACAAGCTGATAACGTTACGTAATTGCACACAAGCAACCAAAAGGTGTGCAACCAAAACTGCCTCAGACAAGAATCGAACCCAGATCCCCCGAATCCTAACCTGCAACGCTAACCATTCGGCCAACATAGTATCACTAGGCAAATAATGTTTGCACGCAGACTTATACCTGAGCGTTTAAGTCGCTGGCAGAGCTAAAGCGGATTTAACCTGCCACCTTGTGGCGATAAGATGTAATATGTTTCACGCAGCTGCGTGATTCATGAAAAGCGTGAGTGAAGACGACAAAACGAAATGGGACCTACTGTATATCGAAAAATCTATATCGTCACACCCCTAATCAATAAAGTTTTCCTTATCTTATCTTATCTTACATCAGATCACAAGAGACACCTAAAGCGGAAGTTCTCATTCTCGCACCATGGACGTCCCAAACAAAACTGTAAACTCACTTAAAGGCCTTTGGATTGAACGTGGCTCAGAATATTTGAAGATTTCAAAACAAATTTTGTTCTCTGTTGGACCAAAAAGTCACATGTATTAACCCTCATTTCCAAGGTAACCAATCATTCACTTTAGCTAACATTTTACATTTCTTTCCAGCTGGTTCTGAGTGATATTCCACTTGCTTCATTTCAGACACAGACTTTTTTTAAAGTTTTTTTGCTGGAATTCTTGAAGTGTGGAGCATTGAGTTAAACTTCAAACTCACCAAAAGATTTTGTCCTTGGTGACTCTCTCCTGCAGCATCGTCCACTTTCTCCCCATATCTGTGGAAGCGTAGAGCTGCGGGAGAAACACAATCAACGTTCAATATCTACACCACAAATATATACAAACACAGAGAGAGAGAGAGAGAGAGAGAGAGAGAGAGAGAGAGAGAGAGAGAGAGAGAGAGAGAGAGAGAGAGAGAGACACACACACACACACACAGACAGAGAGAGAGACAGACACACACAGACAGGTAGGACAGAGACAGACACATACACATGCGCACTCACACACTGAAGTGTGCGGCTGAACATTGATTCCGTTCATAATAAAAATGTATTGATTTGTTGCAGACGAGTTTCTGTTTGTGTCAAAGATAAAGGTTTAAGGTGAATGTCAGGATGTAAACAGACACTTCTATTATATGAATCATGTGTGTGTGTGTGTGGGTGTGTGTGTATCTGTGTCTCTGTCTCTCTCTCTGTCTGTGTCAGTAAATGTTATGTGTGCTAATTGGTGTGTGTGTGCAACCATGTTTGCTTGTATATATAAGGTATGTTAAGGCGTGTATCTTGGTGTACTTGTGTGTGTGTATGTAATGTGTGCTTATTGGTGTGTGTGTCTGTGTGTACGTGTATGTGTGTTTGTCTATGTGTGGCTGTTTTAGTTTTGGAAAATACCATGAAACCTGGTGGACGACAGTAACTTACATAATACATTTAAAGTGGACATATCGTGTTTTCAAATAATTGATTTTTACATCTAAATCATTAGTTTGTGGTCTATATAAAGCGTAACTGCAATGCCTGGGTCTGAGTCTCATTATCTGTAGCTCCACAGGCCTTTCTTCTACACCTGTTCTGAGGTGCGTCTGAGAGCAACCTGTTTTGGTGCTGTCTCTTTAAATGCAAATGAGGCGCTTTTGACCACGCCCCCATTCAGGTGACACAGGTTCAACTCCACCCCGAGCGGCCATTTTTGTAGTTTCTAAGCACAGATACAATTATCTCATAGAAACTTCTCATTACATCGCAAACATGCAGCCTCGCGGAAATTCAATTTGGAAGACGTCAGCAAAGCCACCCCTTCCAGGCCGGCCTCGCAGCCCCAGCCTATCGCACAGCAAACGCCCATTTCCAACCAACCTACGCCGGCCAGGCCAGCTGCTTAAAAGCGGAGAAACTCCCACTTTACGGCCTTCTCGAAGCCTTGCAAACCACCGCCTCCCCTCCTCCTCCTTTTCTCACCCTGCCTCAATCATGCCTCTTCCTGCTGCCCGAATGCCGCCACCAGTGCCTAGGTCGCGGGGGATTGTGCGCGCACTCTCGCAGGAGCCTCGCTGACTGAACGCGCCACTAGGGCGCCAAACTACCTTCAATAAAATACTTCAAATGCATTTTGTCTCCTCGTCTCTCCAGATTGAAATGAAGCAGGCCTTCCTCATTGACTGAAAGCAAATGTTTCATTCTTAGTCCAGTCTTATTATCGACTCTTCTCTTTTTAGCTTTGGGATCCATGCGCACAGTCTATGATGCTCACCCGGTTTGTTTACAACAGCGGCCGCCTGGCACGGGCCTACGTCGCAGGATATGACACACTACGTTGACAGAAATGTTTACATTGAATATTACTTATGCATAATTTTACAGCATTTAAAAACGTTAAGAACGTTTTTCCTTCTACAGAAGGAAAGAGACGCATGCGCCTCCGGAGCCGCAGGTTGCCGACTCCTAGTTTATACAGTATGTGGAAGCAAATACTGAGGATCAGGATATGTGCAGTTTCAACAATAAAATAAAATGCAATAGTCTACATTAAAGAGAGTAATAAACATGTCTCAGAGTGAGGGAGGTGGACACAGACAACACTATTGTTTGTTACAGGGATGAGAATTGGTCAAAAAAGACTGAAATGCATAATGTCAGCCATTTGCTGGCTTTAAATCTGTTTAATTTGTTCACAACATATTACTTTTGGGCTCAAACATCAACCTTTAATGCAATGCAAAATGTAGGTATCAGAGCTTTATTTAGGGCGTTTAATCGCGCTTCGAGGAGAGAGAGAGAGAGAGAGAGAGAGGAGAGGAGAGACGCGGACTGTTTCCTGCAGCAGTGTATTTATTGGGTGCACAGATTACTCAAAGACACGCAGGGTCCTGTGCGCGTTTATGGGGTTGGGTACATGGCCACGTTGAGGCTGCGCGCTCAGCCACAACACGGTGCAAGCGGCTGGACTCACAGCCGCTGGACGCGGAAGCTGCTCATTACAAAGCGGCCGCAGATGCCCCGGAACACTGCGGCCGCTGAGGTGGCGGAATCCCGTTCGAGTACATACAGCAGGTGCCCCGCGGATACGCTCCAACAATTCTCAACGGATTTATTAATTAATTAATTCATTCGTTTTGTATGAGGCAGACAGACCGGCCCAAATATGGGCATCGGCCCTTTGGGCATTGCCCGGTACGCCCGATGGCCAGTCCAGCCCTGTTCGCTGGCATCCTTGAGCTTGGACTACAAATTCGAAGTGATGCACAGTAGAGGAGGGCTGGGCTGAAGTGTTTTGTTAGACGCCCATGCCCTTATATAGCAGTCTCGTTGCAAATACTGTGACGTAATAATTCTAAACACGTAATAGAGAACGGCAAAATCAGAACGAGTTGAAAAATCTTACCCAAACAGAATATGAAGTGTTCTCTGCAACCCATGAAGAGACTGATTTCAACTTTTTTGCACTTCTAGAGGCTCCAACTACACAACATAAGGCATTTACTGTAAGGCATAAAAAAGTGGATTTTTCATGATATGTCCCCTTTAAAACATATGAATCCAAGGAGAAAACCCTTCAGATAAATTGGTAAAAGTGGCTTGGGGTCAGACGTCGTTACTGTAGAAGAAGATTTATCATTTATTCATACTCCAAGATCTGAGCATGAAGTTTCTCCAGAAGCAGTGGATTCTTGACACTGATAGAACCTGAACGCGATCAATCTGGAGGAGACTGAACTACATTTATACTTTATGTTTTCTTAAAGCCCACAAGCTCCCACAGTCGTGCACTTTTGACCCTTTTTTGGTGGATTTTTGTGGAATTCCTGTATGTTTTTATTCACAACAATTATATTCAGAAATGCTAAACCAAGGACAAGATATTTAAATGGTTTTTACTCACAAAATGTAGTGGTTTAAGAAAAAGTTTCAAAGTTATAGTGCTAACTTTCAAAACACAACGCATTTTAATAAAACTATTTATATCAATAGTTCTCACATGTTGAGTCCTGGATCTACAGCCTCAGTTCTGGATCTACAGCCTGAGTCCTGGATCTACAGCCTCAGTCCTGGATCTACAGCCTCAGTCCTGGATCTACAGCCTCAGTCCTGGATCTACAGCCTCAGTCCTGGATCTACAGCCTCAGTCCTGGATCTACAGCCTCAGTCCTGGATCTACAGCCTCAGTCCTGGGTCTACAGCTTCAGTCCTGGGTCTACAGCCTGAGTCCTGGGTCTACAGCCTCAGTCCTGGATATACAGCCTCAGTCCTGGGTCTACAGCCTGAGTCCTGGATCTACAGCCTGAGTCCTGGGTCTACAGCCTCAGTCCTGGGTCTACAGCCTCAGTCCTGGGTCTACAGCCTCAGTCCTGCATCTACAGCCTCAGTCCTGGGTCTACAGCCTCAGTCCTGGATCTACAGCCTCAGTCCTGGAGCTACAGCCTGAGACCAGGATCTACAGTCTGAGTCCTGGGTGTACAGTCTGTCCGTGGTGTGGCAGCAGATTCTTCTCTCAATATTATATATATATCCTTTCCGATGCATGACAGCGGTGATCCCGGACCTTTAAGGACATTATTATTGTCCTTGTTCTACAGCCTGACTCTTGGATCTGGTCTAAGGACAATGATGATGATCCAGGACATTTATGCACATCTCTGTCTCTTATGGACCAATCATTCTATGTGGTTTTTTATCATTGCATTTCCTGTCTTTGTGTTTGATACTCTGATCTGTGTAGGTGAATTGACAACCTGGCGACTGCTGTTGTGATTTAAAGCTGAACTTAAAATACTTTGAATTAAATTGAAGCCTCTGGAGCCTCTGGAACACAGCCCCTGGATCAGGACCAAATGTGGTGAAGGTCTTCTTTTTATTGAACCTCTGCTCGGCTCTGATTGCGGCGTGTCCTGGAGCTCTGCGTCTTGTGTCCGATGCAGTGTGTGTGTGTAATGTGTGTTTGTGTGTGTACTGTGTGTGTGTGGACGAGCCGAGTGCTAAGCGATTGTTGCGGTGAGAACGTCTCCTGTTGACAGAGCGGCGGGGAGCTACAGGCAGGACGTGGAGCGCCCTGTGGAATCCTGCTGTCTGCGGCGATAACATGTGGTTTTGTGTGTGTGTCTGTGTGTTTGTGTGTGTGTTTGTTTTTTGTGTGTGTTACTGTGAAAAATATAATTGAGCCAAAAGTCTGCAAATTTGGCTCCTCTATACATTACTCCTTAGTCCTTACACATATTGCTTTGTGTGTGTGTGTAATGTGTATGTGTGTGTGTGTGTGTGTGTGTGTGTGTGTGTGTGTGTGTGTGTGTGTGTGTATGTGAGTATGTGTGTGTGTGTAATGTGTATGTGTGTGTGTGTGTGTGTGTGTGTGTGTGTGTGTGTGTGTGTGTGTGTGTGTATGTGAGTATGCGTGTGTGTGTGTGTGTGTGTCTGCAGCTTAGGCTCCTCTATATACACACTATCCTCATCACAATGTTAAATTATACTATAATTATTTCTATATAAAGACCAGTCTGAAGTCCCATGATAGATACAGTAGATACTATACATAGATACAGTAGATACATAGATGCATATGGAGACAATTTGCTGGGAGAAGTATGGTAACTGTAAGATAACTTAAGCACTATCCTCTCCTCTACTTTAACGGCCATCATTATGACTTCAGCTGTAGTCTGTTCATTGCTATTCACCTGCTGTCCCTTGCTTTTGAGTCAAGCCGATGCAGCAGTGTCTAAGGACAGTGGTGATGATCCAGGATATTAAACGAGATTTGGACACTGGTCATCTGCCCTTTATGGACCAATGTCTCCATGTGTTTTTTTCCCCATTGCATTTCTTGTGTTTGAGCTGTTTGATTCTCTGATCTCTGTGTGGGCAAATCGACAACTTGAAAGAAAAGTCCTCCGAGATAGCTATTGTTATGATTTAGGGCTATACCAAAATTCACTGAATTGATTATTGTGTTGCCTATAAACCAAAGGCATGTTTTACACTTTATTCTATGATTTGGAGACTTGAGTTAATGCAATACTCTGAGGATAATTGTGTGTTTGTGTGTAGTTCTCGCACCGTCCCGTCCTTGCAGTAGGCCAGCAGCTTGTCCTCCTCGCTCGGGTGGAAGAGCAGCGTGTCGGGGGTGAAGTGGACGACCTGCCGCTGGAAAGAGGAGCCCTCGTCCACACTGAGGAACAGCATCTGGTCCCGTTCGTTTATGGACGTTCCCACCAGGACCACCTGCAGAGAGGACAGAGGACAGAAAACAGAGGTCAGAGGTCAGGAGTCAGAGGACAGGGGACAGAGGACATGTGGATTTGAGAGGTCTAGACCAATGACATAGAACAGACCTGGGCAAACTGTGGCTGTCAGACCTTTTCCCGTCCCCAAACTTCATACTGTCTTCCCCTTTTTAAATGAATGGGAATCAATGCCCAATGTATGGTACAATGACATATCTCACACTAATTCATAAAAAACATGAATATGCCACAATACTAAACCTTCTTTAGCTTTAGTCCAGCTTTGGTTCAATCCAAGCAAGAATTGAAAAACAAAAAATGTAATTCATATTTAATAACAAAGCCAGTTCTTAATTTGTATGCCAAGAATAATGTCTATATGCCCTATTACAAAGCCACACACCGACTGTTTACATGCACTCAGAAAAGGTGTTTTACTGTCTTCAGTATGTGTTTAAGAGTGTGTTTTAAGTTGCTAGATGTTGACAATGTGACGCACTTTGGGTTGAATTTTGTATCAACTGTGCTGTAGAATAACATTTTGATTCATTCACTCATTCTTCAATCTTCAACAAGTGACCAATAAAAAGGTCCACTCCAAACACAAATATAAAAGTCCCCTCTCAGAGTATCCAGTCGTATATTTCTCCACTTTTCCAGGTCCTAAACACACACAATTCCAACTGTTTCCATCTGCGGTGACACAAACACTCATTCACCCGCAGCCTTTCTCCCTCACACGGCCACATCAGAGCGAGACGGCCATTATTGATTATCTATTTTGCTTTTATGGCTCATAAAGTGAATACATTAGACGCGGGGCACACAGGAACACCAAGTCACCAATCACCGCTAAATCTGGACACGCACAAGTGGAGTCACCGATATCCCATTGATTTCAGCTGCTATAGCAACGCAAATGCAATGATGTGTAGTCAGGAGACGAAGTTTTAAGATGGTGTTATAGTATCGTCCTCTTTACATGGAAAGAGATCGGTCGAGTGGTGAAAAAGATGAATTATATACACATATTTTAACCAACACACCTACACCCTAACACTACAATACATCCAGAACTCACCCACACCCGCTCTGGAGAGCGGATGTTCTCAAACAACTCTACTGTCTCCCTGTCCCATTCCTCACCTACAAGTCCCTCCATAACCCGCTCTTTCTTACTTCACAGCACCTCCCGCTGCCTCAGATCCACAGACTCCAACCTCCTCACTCCCTCAGGACTAAACACTGAACCCTAAGGAGCCGAGCCTTCGCTGCCCCCACTCTCTGGAACTCACTCCCACAACCATCTTAAGCCACCTGTTTCAGCTTGTCTTTCCTTCATTTTGTTCTTCGATTGTCCAAAAAGCGCTGTAAGTTGATTAAGTATAATTATTATTATTCATTTTCAAGCCCTTTATTGTCCATTTCTGGGTCAGGGGGGTGGCAATGAGAGCTGCTACCCAATGCTCATAGCACCAGTCCCTCACTGATCTTCAGGGGGTGAGTCCACAGGAAGATGGCTGCTCCGTCAGTGGTGAAACAGCCTTGGTCTTTCAGCGGGGGCTTCAGGCAACGTGGGGTTAAGTGTCTTGCCCAAGGACACAACGAGAGCAGACATCAGTGGGAGCAGTTGGAGTAGGTCCCATGGTGGGAATCGAACTCACAACCTCCAGGCTCAAAGGCCACTGCTCTATCAACTGAGCTACTGTCGCTATACTTATTATGCTACAATATTGTTCCCTGATAAACTGGGTTTGAAAATCGGGCTAAAAGTGGTCACACTTTTATAAAGTCGACATTTGAAGGAAATAACTGTATGAATATTTTGTATGCATGTCGTATCTATCTGTTTACTCTTAAAACTTGTTTGCTGACTTCCTGTTACTTTCAATGTCAAAAAAAGGATTATGATTCTGAAACTCAGGCTGGGTCAATGGTCCCTGGATGTTGGATTGTGATTGGATGAAAGAAGAGAGACAAAGTGAGAGGGGATGTGTTTATTGCCCACTGATGGTTTAACTTCATCGTCAAATATACTTTTAAATTCAAATGAATGAATAAATGGTCACGGATCAACACAATATCATACTATTACAGGACTGAGGCAGGAGCTTCTAGACAGAGGAGTTTCTGATGGATGGATCTAAAAAGCAACAATGAGAAACGGGTTTGGAACATGGAGAAAAGTGAGAAAACGTCGATGTTGCAGTTTGTGTTTCCTTTGAATGTGTTTTGAACATCAGGGCGGTTCAGTGCGTTCTGTTTGATCGTTACTATTACTGCTACGATGCTTCTGAAGCGCCTCACACTGTTTTGTTTTCAGCAGATTGAGTCCTGCTCCTGAGTCACACGTCCTCAGGCAGTCGGAGCTTTTGTCGCACACAATTTCTTTACTTTCACTCAGCTTGAGAAACGTGGTATAGTATGTTCCAGCACAGACTGAGCCACTGCAAATACAGTGTATAAAAGCCAAAAGACCTTCAAGACAAAGACAGGAGTGTGGAGAAAACCAGGAACTATCCAGGATCAATCCAGGAACTATCCAGGATCAATCCAGGAACTATCCAGGATCTATCAAGGATCAATCCAGGATCTATCCAGGAACAATCCAGGATCTATCCAAGAACTAACCAGGATCAATCCATGAACTATCAAGGATCTATCCAGGATCTATCCAGGAACTATCCAGGATCTATCCAGGAACAATCCAAGATCTATCCAGGAACTATCCAGGATCAATCCAGGATCTATCCAGGAACTATCCAGGATCTATCCAGGAACTATCCAGGATCAATCAAGGATCAATCCAGGATCTATCCAGGAACTATCTAGGAACTATCCAGGAACTATCCAGGATCTATCAAGGATCTATCCAGGAACTATCCAGGATTTATCCAGGAACTATCAAGGAACTATCCAGGAACTATCCAGGATCTATACAGAATCTATCAAGGATCTATCCAGGATCTATCCAGAATCTATCAAGGAACTATCCAGGATCTATCCAGGATCTATCCAGGAACTATCCAGGATCTATCCAGGATCTATCCAGGAACTATCCAGGATCTATCCAGGAACTATCCAGGAACTATCCAGGATCTATCCAGGAACTATCAAGGAACTATCCAGGAACTTGTGGACATATATTAACATTTGCGGACGGTAGTCATCTTCCCCGTATGGACCAATGCCTCCTAAATGTTTTATTTTTGCATTTCCTCTGTTTGAAATGTAAAAAAAAAACTTTCACTGCAAAAAATGATAAATATGAGGTAATAATTGCTTGAATCGGGTAATAATCTGACTGTCACTGACGGATTCTCCGATGGGACAAAGCCATTTAGTCTGATTTCAAGAACTGTTAATTATTTTTCTCATTCCAAGGGAGACATTTTTTGTATCTTTTTAAAACAAGAGACATTTTAGCAAAAGGTGGGTGCTCTCGCTTCTAAGTGAGGAGGTCCAGGGTTCGAATAATGGTCGGAACAGGGCCTTTCTGAGTGTAGTTTGCATGTTGTCTTTGTGTCTGAGTACGTTTCCTCCAGGTGCTCCGGTTTCCCCCCTTTCACTAAAAGCCATAGGTTGAGTGTAATGAGTGAATGGATGGTGTTTGGTCGGAGGCTTTGATGGTCCAGTGTGATCGGTGCCACATACAAACACATAAAATATGCTATATAAATAAACATTACTAACTTACTTAATTAAGGCAGTCAAAATGAGCTCAAATTAAGATATATTTTGCCAAATTTGAGCAATTTTTGACTTATTTTCCATCACTTTTTGCAGTGTTGGACTGAAATGAACGCCTTTGGAGCTACTTTTACTGACCTGAACCTTTTGCCCATCGCAGACTCAGCAAACCTCCTTTTCCTTTCCTTTTTCTCGGCCGTTAGCCTTGGTCATTACTAAACCCCACTAAAATGTCAAAGTGAAATGCATTGGCTGTTCTCACTGATATGCATTACTTAACTTTCTCCAGGATCCAGCGGGTGGCACCTTCGCTACAGATCCAGCCAAAGTTGATCTACATTATACATGAGGAGGATGTTTAATTCAAAGCCGGGATGATCAAAAGCACATTTGGGTTTGGCTCGGAACAGGTCAAAAGTTCTCGGACGCTCTCATTGTTAATTTAAGTCCTTCTGTCACCTTTGTGTTCCTTTTTGCGAGCAGCTTAGTTTGAGGAGTGCGTCTGTGAAATTGGGTTACGTTAAGTTACACGACCACCGCTGTTTTGCATAGAGTTCATAATTTAGATCCATTAAAATGCTTTGTATGAAATGTGGGAGTTATGAATTTGTTTTTCTGTTGATTCAAAAAAATTAAAAAAGGAATGATATATTTTGTAGGAGAAGACATTTTATTCTTATTAAAATATAAAAGCATATTTACTGGTGAACTTGAGTACTTTTGTTGTATAGTAAAAATAATATTAATAATGCATCGGTTTTATATAGCGCTTTTTTTGGACACCTAAAACGCTTCACATGTCATTATTCTTTCACTCCAAACATGGTGGTGATAAACTACTACTGTAGCCACAGCTGCCCTGGGGCACACTGACAGAAGCGAGGCAACCAGTATGTGCCATCGGCCCCTCCGACCACCACCACCCATTCACACACACACCAGATTCATTCTAGGCAATGGGGGTGAAGTGTCTTGCCAAGGACACAACGGCAGCAGACAGTGGGAGTCAATGGAGAAGGTTTTGTGGTGGGCTTGAACCCACGACCTTATATGCTCTACCAACTGAGCTACTGTCGCCCAAAGTACTTAACCTCTGTCTTTACTCTATTTCCCAATCAGCCTATTTATTTATCAATCAGGCATTTATTTGTATAGCACAATTCAACAGCGGGGTCAATGGCACATACTGGTTGCCTCGCTTCTGTCAGTGTGTCCCAGGGCAGCTGTGGCTACAGTAGTAGTTTATCACCACTGTGTAAAGAGTGAAAGAATAATAACAAGTGAAGAGACTGTGAGTGTCCGGAAAAGCAATTTATAAAACTGATGCAATATTATTCTTACTATTATTTTTAAACTTTAAAAATCTCACCAGCAGCACA